CAGGGAGAGCCCAGCCCAAACACCAGCACCTGGAGCCCAGGAGGATTTGAGGAGAACTAGGATCTGTCCTGTGCATGAGGAACCTGCCCACGGCTCTCCCTGTCCCCCCCATCACCGAGCCGTGCCAGGGTGACCATGGCACTGCCACCCCCACGAGTGGCACCTGCTCCCCTGGGCAGTGCTGGTGCTGTGCCTGCACCCAGAGCTTGGTGCTCGGGGCACTCGCTCCGTCCCCACCGCGCCCTGCAGGCCCTGGCCCAGGAAGGACCAAGGATGGATCCCGACTCTGCTTCCTGAGCATCCCTGGAGCCCGGGGCACGGAGAGCTCTGGCCCAGGGCAGGCAGGAGGACACTGCACAGTGGTGGAGCAGTGTGGGCACTGTGCTGGGAATCCTCCCTCTGGGCACAAATGGAGCAAGGGAGAGAGAATATGGACAGGGAAAACCTACGGATATAGCTGGGCTTGGGAAATGACAAAAAATGCTGTTACACATAAAGGTCTGGGGAGAAGGGAGTCCTGGCAGGGAACCACCCCCATCTGCCACCCAAAGGAGGGAATTTTTTGGTTCCTTAGACAAAACCTCCAGCTCCCCCAGTTCCCTGACACTTTATCCACAGGCATGCCCAAGGTTTCTGGCAGACACTGTTTGTGGCAGTGGGGGAGGGCTGAGCAGATGCCGAGCCCCGAGGCTGTGGTACCTGGTGCAGAGCTGCCAGCAGCATCTTCAGGGCCTGTGTCTGCCCGTAGCACAGGTAGCTGTGGCTGTAGAGAGAGTAGTTGGTGCCGTACAGGCGGAAGAAGACCGAGGTGTTCGTGTCCTCCACGGGCACTCCGGGCTGGAAGGTGATTTGTGTCGAGGCACCTCCAAGGTCCAGAGCTCCCAGAACCTCGATGTCCTCTGGATGTTCCCATTTCTCTGCAAAGGAAAACTGGCCCAGGGGACAGCAAGTGTTAGTCTGAAGGCGAGGCACACCCAGGCCCTGTGAAAACCCTCACGGCTTTTGGGGCTCAGAAGCCCCAGGGGGACCTCCCCTGCCCTGTCCCCCAGCTCACACCTTCACCAGTGTCTCCAGCAGGTAGTTGACGGTGATCCAGCCGAAGGAACCCTCCTCTCTGCCCGTCAGGATCCGAGCTCCACGGAAGTCCACAGGGTACTCCCCGATGGCCTTGGCCACCTCGGCGAAGACCCGCTCGGCCTTGGTGCTGTTCTGCTCCCTGACAGGGAAGGCACCGACACGGCTGGGGCACGAGGCCTCCGCTGGCAGCTGTGGCAGCTGGGCTAGCAGCGACAGGCTGCTGTGCCCTGCCAGGGAGCGGGGCTGCCCACAGACACCCACATCCCCCATCACTGCCCCGGCTCTGCCGGCTCCTGTGAGCCCCAAACCCCTCACCTGGCCCACTGCCCATCTCCTACCCCCGCAGCACCGGGGAGGTGAGTGCCAGTCTGCCAAAGGGGCACCAGCCGGCCCTGGGGCTGCAGGGGGCTGGGGGGATCCCCCGGGCATGGCCAGGGCCTGTCCTGGACAGCCCGAGGCACTGCAGACAGGGATGCTCTGCCCACCCGCACGGCCTGCCCGGGCTGCACCCCCCCTGCCCCAGCCCCAGCCCAGCCCTGCCCCGGCCCCCCCGCTACCTCAGCAGCCGCATGCCGGCCGTGGCCCCCAGGTAGGTGGGGGTGTCCCGCTGCTGCTCTGCCGGCACGATCCTCATGGCCTTGTCCAGGCAGGGCCTCAGGCTGGCGCCAGCCCCTGCGGGGTCGTCTGCGTAGCTGGAGATGCCGGGTC